TTAATATGGAAGGCAGGGGGGTAGGAAGAGGAGACATAAGAAATGACCGTTATCCACATGGAAAGATAAAAAAGAATGAGAATACTAGAGGAAAAGTCCAGAGTGTGACAGATCAAAGCAGCAAGGCCTCTGGCTGTTAAGATAAAGAATGTCCTAGTTCTTGAGAACATATTTATGTGTGCATGCACTGGACTTTTTTAAAAGGAAATAGTTTTATTCAAAGAAAGGTCTGTTTCTAGCACAAGGGCTGTTTAAGGGGGAAATAGTGGGTGAAAATAGAACTTTCACAGGCACTGCTATAAGGAATGTTTTGTGCAAATGAGAACAGCGTCTGTTATTTTAAATTAAAACATTTATTGGAAGGTTGGGGGAAAAGGGGGCTGTCTGTTTTCACTCTGGGTTGGCAGCTCCTGTAATGTGTGGCGTGGCTATGCAGTAGATCTGCTTGTGTAGACATGCATGTGGTATCCCATGCATGGCAGGGAGTTCTTGTTGAACTTAAACCGAAGTGCATAGAGGGCTAAGGAATCCAATATTCTTGTAGTCAGCCAGAACACAGCAGCTGTGATTCAGGCTGTGTTCAGGTACTCGCTGCTGAAATGGCTGTGCTGGTTGAAGATGTTACCTCTCCCCTTGTGCTTGAAGATACCTCATGATGTGTGTTGGCAGAGCAGCTTCTCAGGTGTTCTTTTGCAGAGTTGTCTGGTTTAGGACAGAGAAATTTATATCCTTCTCAGTTAAAATATTCCAGCCTGGTTGTCTTGTACCATACGCTGTCAAGAATCGAGGTGCCATCATCTGAAGCAGATGAGGAGTGTCGTCCAGTTGTGTGGCAGAGGCAATAACAGCACTGGGCTCTATGTAAAGAAGAGATGACCACTAGCCATCTAAATGGCAAAAGGTTTATGTTGCAGACAACCCCAGAGTGAAGAGACTGTGAAACAAGGTAGACTTTGTGAAAGAAGCTGTGGGATTCCACAGACTACACCATGTACCTTGGATGAACTCCAGGCTATAGGTGTCTCTTACATGCTGTCATGTTCATGTGTAGGAAGAGTTTGTAAAATGGCAGGAGTTTACTTACACAGTTTTACAGGACTTTAGAAAGTACAGGGTATAGAGAAACACGTATCCACTGAGGTTGGCTCTTGGCTTGTCTAAGTCAGTTCTATGTGAGTAACTTGATGAGTTAAGTAACTATTACTTTGCTGTTTGTGAGAGAGATGGGGCAATTGAGCTGGGTGGAAGCCATGGGATCTGCTGGGAGTGGATCAGGTGAGTGTGCCCTGTTATTCTGCTCCTGCTGCGGCAAACTGCCTTCTCAGGTACCTTTACAGCAAGCAGCAGCAAGAGAACTAAGAATTAAAACTTAGATCAGCAAACTGGTATCATTGCTCAGGCTTGGAGACAGTAGCATAGGACCTGAAGGGATCCCTACAAACCTACCAGAAATTCATGAGAAGATTCCTGGTCAGTGGGAGTTTAGGCACACAAAGATTGATGTGAGATCCTTTGTCTCCCAGGGTGTTAATTTGGGCTCAGAGAGACTGCTGGAAGGAAGAGATTTTGACACAGAAATCTCATTTCTGTTTTCTGTATTGTTACACCCTCCCACCCAATTAATACAGATTAATATTGATTAACAAGAAAATAGCTATATTTTTGTGGGGGGAAAACGCTTCTGGCAGTCTTCTGTTTGAATGCAGAAATGAAAGGCATTGTTGGCACAAGAATAAATGGGTAGAGAAAAGGGTTTGTGTACATTTAATTAGGGAAGTGGAGGGAGGAAAGTGTGTCTATTAATTGAGGTTTTAAACAGCAGCAAGCACTAAGACAATCTGGGACGTGATGCAGGATGTCTCTTAAATTCAGTACCAAGCACACTCCCTTTTCAATTGTGTCAATTCTGAACTGTCTTGTCTCCATTGTCATTTCACTGTGAGAGAGCCTCAGTTTAGCTCCCCCCCTCCTCTTTTTTTCTCTCTAGTGAATACCTAATCATCACACTGCTTTTTGACTGGGTATTGACTGTGAGACTTCCTGGCCTAATTTTTCTTGCTCACTATAATAGCAATAGCTGGCTATCTTTATTTTGTGATTTTTGAATCTGAGCTATACGGGATACTCAGACATGCAGCTGGATTTTGGGTTAATTGAGTAATAGTCAGCCAGGGCTTCTCAGTGGTATTAACAGAGAAAGTGATAGGTCACAAAGCTCAAGGTTCGTTACCCTCGGAGATACTCATACCCCCACAATTAATTTCATTTTCATGATTGCATCATCTTAAATTGAGGTGGAATCAAAGATTTTTTGTTTTTCCCTCCCTCCCAGCTGAGTTTGACTGGCACAACTTCTGACATGGGTGTAGGGAGGCTGGTACCATGGCCAAGTCAAATCCTTTTCTTTGTTCTCAGGGCCTGCTGCTGCTGATAAAGTGGTCGGCGCATGGCATTATGTCTTATTACATTTTTGATGCAGACTGCAAAGAAACGGGTAAACTCACCATGGTTACCACGATCTGTCATTTGGCAGGGCATGCCGTACTCAGCGATGGCCTCTAGTGTCTGCAGCACAGCTCTGCATATGTGGCGGGTACAGCAGGCAATACAGCACCCCTGGCTGCTGAAGGGATGAACTCTACCCATCTTACTGCTAATTCACATCAGCAGCAGTGCTGCAGCAGCAGGTTCTTGCTCGTGGTTGCCTCCTGAAAGTTCTTGTTTGCTTTTGTCATTCAGTGTTGACTGAGTCACTGCTGGATCCAAGCTTCCAGCTACTGTCCACTGTAAAGGCGTGTGTTGTTGGCTTCCACACCTGTGGAACTTACTTGGTCAGCACCTAGATGCATTGCTTTGCCTTCTAATAGGGTTTTTCTTACCTAGACATACCCTGCTGTGTTATTTTGTACAGACCCAGCATGGGAAATCACTTAAATCAACATAATGTGAAACAATCACTGAACTGTCTGTAATATATTGTCATTAACCAACACAGTGGTGATAAGTTGTTGGTTTGCTGCAGCTGAGGTTTGCTCAGTGGGTAGGGCAGGATTCCTGAGCCTGGTCGTCAGAGTCCTGGCCTAAATTCTGAACCTCTTTGGAGCTCCCAGGTCTCCTATGGGGCTGCTTGCAGCAACAGTTCAGGAACAAGTCTTTGCAGGATGGCCCTTTTGTTTTATTGTACATGAGGAAAAATCACTTTAGTCTTTCTCTGCTTAATTGAGGTAATTAAAGCTTCTTACCTTGCAGCACAAGGGGCTCATTAATGGTTTTGAAGCATTTTGAAGTCCTTGGAGGAAAGATGCGGTTTGCTGTTGTGTCATGTTTGATAACTGTTGAAACTCAGTCATCTGGACTTGAAATACTGAGTTTACATACAGAAATCTTACCAGTTTGAGCTAACAATGTGAAGAACTAATGGAGAACTAAGGGTGTGTTGCTAAGTTTTCCTGTGTTTTGCTGTGCTTTAGCAAAATGTGACAGTGGGCTCCATGGGAAACCTGGCCAGAAATGCAGATTGTAATGCCATAAGGTTTAGCAGCTTAGCTAAAGACAAAGAGAAATCTTGCCTTTTTGAGGTGACCTAGTGACCAGCTCAGTTTGCCTTTCTTAGGATTTTACATCCTGTTAACTAGTAAAAATAAAGAACATGCTCTCTTCTTGTAATGGAGACACCACCACAATGATATCCAGTGATCAGTTCTGAAGTGGAAAGAGACTTCCCAACCGAGGACAAGAGACACTTCCACTGTGTTCAGCCTTGTTCTATGCAGTGTAACTGCTGGCTCACCGTTTTTGCAGCAGGGGAGAAGAGGAATGAAATCACTTGCAACTTTAAAACAAAGCCTAGAGATTTACATCGTTCTAAGCCCCAGTGACTTTTAGCATTGGTTTAATTTAGATTTAAATGAAGGCTGGTAAATGAGATCTGTTCCTCATAGGAAAGACAGTTGGGAATTTTCAGCAAAGGAGTGTTTGTAAGGGGGAAGATTTTTCCAGACAGCAGGCAGTCTGTGTCTGTGCCTACAGGCAAAGACAGCAGCATCAGTGGATGCAGGGGCACTCTGGCTGTAAGAGCAAACAAGTTGAATGGCGTAACATGCCCTTAGAACATAGCCAGGAGGTCCTCCAGCGCTGGTGGGAAATGGGCAGTGTAATTAAGCCCCCTAAGAAAAATCTGAGGGTTGTTCTTCAGCCCCCAGTACTTAGTGTTGTGGCGTGAGGGGGAGAAGTGTTGTGATGGTTCATTTCTGGAGCAGTTCATCAATGGTTGCCCTAGAGTCTGTTTTTGGAAGTCCCAGCTGACTCAAAACCCTGTAGATCCAAACAATCCTTTGTAGCTTCAAAGAAAGTAACCATAACCCAGGGTGATGTTATTTTCCCTTTGGTTTTCTTACACAGCACAATTTGTCTGGCTAAAAACGTTTGATATCACACAAAGAGGAATAAAGGTAGCAGTCCTCGCCTCCAGTGTCATACAATGAGCAGCAGATCTGATCTACCTCAACTGACTGTTCCCTATGAATAGTTTTGGCGTTGGCTGAAAATAGTACTGAGGGTAACTTGCATTGACCATGTGATGACACTTTGAGTTGCAAAATTACTTTCAGATAACTTGCAGTGAAAAAGTAAAAATAGCACAGTACATTAGACTCATCTGTGTGGAATGTATATCTGCCAAAATAGGGCTCCTTAATATTTACAGTTTGTCTAGGCAGAACAACCTGTCATGCTACACTCTGTTTCACTTTTAGGCAAACAATTTGCACTGATAATGTTGCAGGCTGTGCTGTTTCCAAATGTACAGCAAACATAAGAGAAGCATTAATTTAACCATTCTCTTCCTAGCAAATACCATGCCTGTGAAATGTCATTAGTGAGCTCAGACAGAGGTGAGAGGTCACAGCTTTAGCAAAAAGTGATTAAAATGTGTCCCAATGTAACAGACTAATTAATCTTTACATAATAACAGGGTGTTTTTTCCTCTTTTCTCTCTCCAGCTGGGAGCATTCACTCTCCCTCCACAAGTATGGCAACATCTGCGCAATACAGACAGCTTATAAATGACTACGGGCCCCCATCTCTAGGCTACACACAAGGGATGCAGGTACATCTCTGCTTGTTGTTTCTCTTTAATCGGATCACTGACCCTGCATACTGGCCTGGATTGGGGCCTGTAATCTGAGGTGTTCCTCCCTCCCACCAAGATGTGAAATCAAACCCAAATGGCACACTGATTCATCACACATGTCTTGGGATCAAATTAGACTAAGCAGAGTGCTGAGTGAGATTGGTTACTAATTAACTGTTAGTCCCATCCCATCTGAGTCACTGTGAGACATGTCTTCAGTTATGTTGAGATACAAGAGCTCCTAACATATTTTATTTGTTAAAAAATAACTATTTCTGTAAGGTTTCTCTTCAGTAAATTTATACCCTAAAACTTAGTCCCATAAAGTGTGTGTCACGCACAGTCCTGTGGGCTGCTCCAGGAATCCAGCTGTAAACTTTCCATTAGATGTTCTTGTCTTCATAAGATTTCCCTTATGATGCAGGCAGTTTTGCTTTTTCTGCTTCTCACTCTCCTGCCTTCCCCACAAAATGTACACCTAAACACTGAAGAAGCAAAACCAGAGTTAAATAAGCAATTCCCAGCTTGCAGTTTAGTTCTGTTTTAGCTCCGGTTTCACCCAAGGTCCCTCTCTTGCAGCTGCATGCTCCCATTTGATCCTGATTTTTGAAGGGCACTTAGCACTGTGTCCAGCTGTAGTGGCAACCACAAAAAGCAAATGATGTTTCTATAATAAACCTGAAATTTTACTGTCTTAAAAAGTGCCTTCAAGGTCTATTTCTCCCTGTGTTCCCAGTTGCTGTTTATTGTAATTGTTCTGTTTGTAGCAGTATTTGATTGAGATTAATCTATTTTCTATTACAGGGGACCAGCAGCAGCCAAGTACCACAAAGCAAATATGCAGAACTTCTAGCTATCATAGAAGAACTAGGAAAAGAGATTAGACCCACATACGCTGGGAGTAAAAGCGCGATGGAAAGGCTAAAAAGAGGTAATGTTTAAATCTCTTCAAAAAGAATCATGTCCCGTACACTTGGAGCACTGATGGCTTGTGTACAGCTTCCTGACAACTGGTCCTTTTGAAAGGAGACAGCTGCTTTGAGCTCATCATTAAACTGGGTGTATTAATGAGCAACTGAAACCTTGGGGTACTCCAGTTGTGCTGCATTTGATAGATAAACCAGTGACAAAGTAGCTTTCATGTGCACAAAGGGAGTTTCAGTTAGTATTTCAAACCATCTTTTAGACCCATAGGGTGTCAAATGGATACGTGCTCTCAGGTTGCTGGTGACTGACTTGCCCCTTCAGTTTTCCCTTTCTGGTCTCTAGAATACATGGTCAAGCATTGTTTACTTCTCCTCATGCACATCATCCATGTACTTGACCCAGGAACCTTTACTAAAGTGCATTTTCACACCAAGGCTGATAGAGAGCTACAAAAAGGGAATAAAAGGTTGCCAGGGAGGGCTGTGCAGACTGAGATGTCAAACATACACATTTGTTCCTCCACTCTGTTACCTGTTGTCAATGGATGTCATTAAGAGCCCACCAGGGAGGGACATAGAAGCTTTTAGGGCTGGCTGATAGGTCTTTCCAGGTTTGCTTTGTCAGCTGAAAGGGGTAATAAATGCCCTTTCCTTGCAGTGTAAAAGAAACCCCTGCATGCCCCTCTGCTGACATCAGCTTGACATTGTCCTCTGCAGGGGACGTGAGAGGGATATTTCTGAAGGAGCAGTGGGACATTCCACTGCCCCAGCTCCTGAAATTACGCTGAAAGGCCATGGACAACAGTTGTGCTGGCAGTCCTGTCCTTTGCCAGCATAATGTAATTACTGTTTCCTTGGTCCTTGTGCTGAGTTTGGCTCATGCTTTCAACCCAGAATGGGAATGTTACTGTAGCAGACTAACTTCACCACCTTGCAAATCCCCCTTGCATTTACCCAAGACTACGAAGCTTTATTTAAGGCTCAACCATTATGGGAGAGTAATATATCTGCCATGACATGCAATAAAATGGCTAGTAGCTGTTCTGGGAAAGGATGCAATAAAGTCTGCTGATGAGTGGTAAGTGGAATCTGGCCCAGCTAAAATCAATGTTGCTGGAGTCTCTTTATTGCATTGCCTGAGTCAGTATTAATAGATCATGAATGGCAGTAGGCTAATGGGGACAACCTGAGAGGGACCGGGAGAGATGCAGACATCCTCAGTTTGGTCAGAAGTTGTTTTGCTGCTGCTCATAGTGAGTATTCAGTTTGCTGCCTGAGGTGAGTTTCAGGTTCAGTGCTGGCACTGTGACTTGCCAGTGTTGCAAAGAATCCCAAATATATACTTTTTGCTGCCATCTTTTGGTCACAGACATACCTCTCTTTCCATTTTGGGAGCCTGATGGTTGAAGGAGCATGGGCAAGTGTGAGAGCGAAAGTGACTGAGGGTAACCCAATGTGACTGCAGCCTCCCTGGCCACATCCCCAGCTCCACCTGCTCCTAAGCACAGAGACTACTGACCTCTAAAACTGGCCAAATTCCCCACTGTTCTTCATCATTCAGGATAGATCTGCTGCATAAACTGGGCATCCTGCCACCAGATCCAGGTCTGATGCACAAATTCTGCATCCCACAGCTGCAGGATGCAGCTTTACTTGTCTGTGTCAGTTTAACCCTCTGCAAAGCCTTGTGCCTGTCAAGTCCCAAGTCAATACTCCTTACATGTAAAGCCTGTTGCTGTGATATGGAATAGCAGCCTTCCAGAAACAGAATCCATTATCTTTAAATAGAGTTTAAGCTTCATCTCTTGTGTTATTGTCCTTTCTCCACCTTGTTAAGGAACATAACTGAGCAGAGAAATCACTTTCTATCTTGTCCTGTCAGTAAAAGATAACCTTATTTGTAGTAGAAAAACCTGTCTTGTCTCTCATCTCTAAAATCCATCTCGGGCTCTGTTCTTTCAGCAGCTCTGTGAACATGAATCTAGATTTAGTTCCAGGATTAAGAATGGAGGTCCAGATTGCTGGAACTGAAGGCAACAGGCCTTGTAGTGAAAAATTCCACATTATGTCTATCAGATGAGAGTAGATGTGGCAGCATGTGAAGTGGTGATGACTTACACTGGGAGCTGAGCCAGTGTTAGGAGGGAGCTTTTTGCACACACCATAAAAAGTCCTCCTTACAAGAGACACAACTTGTGTTTAAGCAGTATTATGAGGGCTTGGATTAGGTCCATCCTCTCAGAGAACTGTCCCAAGGTATTAAGACTCAGAGCTTGCTAAAATGACTCCCAGGATAACTTTGTATTTACTTTTCACTGTAGCAAAACAACTCACAGGTAGGCGAGGTGGTTCCTCCCTCCCTTCTGTCTTTGCTTTTTAACAGGCCTGCACTGCACATTAGGATATACCTGTCACTGAAGACCTGCAGATCTTGCCATGCTTTCATTCCTGGCTTAGCCCTTTTTCCATTTATAATGTCAGTCTGGGAAAGCAGCAGCTGATGTTTGGGAAGTAGCAGCCTTGGCAATTTAGGACAGAAATACCTCAACCTTTCTCTGCAGTGCCATTGCAAGTGTGACCAGAACGAGATGATTGAAAACGTGTCCAATTCTTTTGCAGGCATTATCCATGCCAGAGGATTAGTTCGGGAATGCCTGGCCGAGACGGAACGAAATGCAAGATCCTAGCCCACTCATTCCATCTCTGAATGAAGAAAAATAACATTTATTCCTTTTGACTCTTGAAACATTCAGACAAATTCCTTTATTTTGAATGTTCTGCCTTTCTTGTTTCACCCTTACAAAAATGTATAGTTAAGAATGACAAAACAAGGATTTTTTCAACTTCCTGAGGGTTTGCATTTTGTAAAGACATTAAAACTCCCTCCAAAATGTTTCTAAAACATGAAAACTGAACTGCATGCAGAGGAATGCTCTTTCTCTCCCAGGCTCTATTTCAGTTCTCTTCTTATCCAGCCACAGTCTCATTCTGGTTTTTGGTTTTTTCCTTTGACTGTATTCACTTAACCCCAAACTGTCAGTCTTCCACAGTCTGACATAAGCTCTGAGGATTTTGTTTAATGAATGCAGAATAGCATGCTGTCCCCTGTAGTCTGCTAAGTCACACTTTGTCATACAGCATAGACCCTGCTTAGAAATAACCTTCCCCTTCTCTTACTTTCCCTTTTTTGTTCGTTTTGCATAAACATTTGCATGACTGTTAGTGCTTTGAAGTCCATTTAAAGTGCATGAGTTATATGGAAAATAGGGAAACCTATTAAATAATAACAAGGTCCTGGAAAGCTAATTTCTACATTAAGGCTGGAGATTTCAGTTTAAAGTTTGCCAAAAAAAAAAAAAAGAAGAAAAAGAAAATTCTGGATAAATTACTAAAACTGTTATTTGCATCTTTGTATGTATTTATTACTTGACGTAATAAAGCTTATTTTCATTAACAGTTTGTATTAAAACTCTGTACAGTCACTTTAATTGGATTCATACTCCATGAACAAGAACTCTCAAGAGCTAAAAATGTAACTTTCATGCAGGAGGTTCAGGAACAGCAGAGGGAATTAGGGAACAGCCCTGAATTGCTGGTGAGTTTCCATCCCTGGCACAGTGGGATGCAGTTGGAAGGTGGTTACAGTTGCCAGTGGTCTCCACTCCTTTCAAAACACATACTGTGGCCTGGCTTCCTGAAGCTTTCTCGTTTCAGTGCTGAAGGCCAAAACTTGGTGGCAACTAGTGAGGAGGTGCTGTCCAGAAATGAAAGGGAAGTTCCGGTTAAGCAATTAGAGTTGTGAATGGGATTAAAATGGGAAAGTATTCCTCACTAGTGCCTTCAGTGACAGTAACAAAGGGCATGCAGCTGTATTTGCAGAACATTGCAAACTGTCTGAAATGAGGGAAGATACTCAGATGCCTGAGCTTAATGTAATAAGTGACTGTAATTCTTTATTATGCAATCTAAATCCTAAGGACGTTGGGCTGTCTGGGCTATCTAACACATAGAGCTATGGATACTTGCAGAAAATACAGTATATTAAGAGGCCAAGTTAATTACTTCACTGCTTGGATGAACTGGATTCCATTGCCTTGAGAGGCAGCTTCCAGGACATGTTCTTTAGCTGTAATCCAATTTTACCTTTGAACTGGAAGAACACAACTCACTTGCAGGAGGGAGTGTTGGTTTTAGGCTTGTTCTTCCCAAGTGTTTGAACTCCTATGAAGCATCATAAGGTGTCATCCAGGCAGAAAGAAATCTATTGCACTTTTTGGTCTCCATTACCAATGGTAGAAGGTTTATAGTTCCTTTTTAACAAGGATTGCTTTAGCATCTTCTGAACTTGGCAGGGAAACTGATTGCTAAATGTGATTAATGAGATGATGGCGGGCAGAAGCAGAAATACAACTGCTTTTATCACCTCAGTTTTACAGTAATGGAAGGTCACTACTTGGTCTTTCAACAGTGCTTAGGGAGCTCTACATCAAACTAACTTCATCCGTTAGTTTGAAACCCGGGTTTAGGTATAATGATAAACGTTCCCCTTACCCTACTGAGGCAAGTCTGTATTTCATACAGTTCATTTCTTATCCAGTTGTTGCATCTCTTTAAAAAGCTTTTTCCTTTCTAGATGTTCCCTTGCTCTTCTTTTTTTCTCCTGCTTTTTCTTCTCCAATGCTCTCCTCTCTTTAAAAACATCACTTTCTTCACCTTTATAGAAAAGGTCAACTTTTTCCTGCAGGATTCCTCTGGCTATCTTCCGATTCTTCTCCACTGATCTTGTTTGATGACACTGAAGAAACACAATAAATATTTTTACTGGAACCTTACTCTCTTTTATCTTTCTGCTTTCCCTTTCAGTCTATGCATTCCTGCCATTACTGTAAAGAAACTCCTCTTTTGCTACTGTAACTTGTTAGACTGGCTTTTGCATTAATCTTCAATGTTCCTATTTTACCCTGGAGAGCTGTTTCTGAGTTTAACTTAATGTCTCCTCCTTATGATAAGGAAGCAAAGATTAATTTCAAAGTATTAATCCACAAGAACCAGGCAAGAGGAATGCTTAAAAAGAATCTGCAAAGTGGATCTGATCACCTTAAGGAAGACATTCTAACTCACAAGAGGGACAGGAATGTGAGAGCTGCCACTGAAAGGCAGCTACAACAAAAGAGTGTATCTCTGATAGCCAAAACTTGCTTCTGGATGAGATTCTTTACATAAAATTTTTCCTCCCTGACATCTGCACTGTGATGATGCATTAATATTAAAGAAGACTTGGAAGACATGATGCCAATTTGTGACTTCATGGAATAAACCAATTACCTTCACTACAATCCCAGATGGAACATGCTTCAAGACAACACAGTTGCTTGTCTTATTTGTGGCCTGGCCTCCTGGGCCATCACCTCTCACAAACTGCTCTTCTAATTCTGCCTCAGTTAGTCCAAGGAGATTGAGAGAGTTTTTCTTCCCTCCTGCCTGAAGTAAGGGTGCTCTGGGTAGAGAGAAATGCTTCTGCCCCAGAATCCATGGTCTCCAGCCTGGCGCTCGGACTTCTCTCAGCAAGGATGCAAAATGAAATAAACCTGGAACATTCATGCAGAAACGAGGACGCGGCTTCTCTGGAACAAAACCTGGAACACAAGCGGGGAGTAGAGTTTACCGTGAGGATCCGGTGTTAACATCTAGATCCCACTTTTTCCACGCGGATACACGGGTGCTTGTTACCGGTGCCACAGGCAAGCCCACGGAGGACGATGCATTTATACCCCTGACTAAACCGCCTTTTAACGCTACTCGCACGCACACGCGGTAACAGCGCGAGCAGCACGGTGTCAGCAGAGCCGGGACCTACGGCTTGTCACTGCGGCGCTGCCCCCCCAGCCCCGCCGCCTCCCCGCACCTACGAGCCCCGCCGCTGCCTCCTTACCTCCACCTCCATTACCCCGCCCCTTTCTCTGATGAGTGGCAGGAAAGCCATCCAATCGGAAGCGGCGGCGCTGTCAACATCCCGGAGCGCGAGGGACAGCTGCCCAATGGGAGCGTAGGGGCGGGGCTTGACCTGAGGGGAGGGGGCGGTGGGGGCGGAGTCCGTGAGGGG